CAAAGGAGTGTTGTCCTGCCAGGTCCACATTTTGGGAGGATGCACGTGTACTGCGATGATCCTGCCATTCCCCGACATGTTTCGAGTCACCTGCTTGGAATTCCATTAGAAATTAAAGGACTTGGTCTCACTCCAGCTCCACCATTAGGCAGCTAAGATATTATAAGTGAATCACTTCATTCCTCTGGCCCCAGTTTTCTCATTGGTAAAATGAGGAGATTAGCCCAGTGTTTCACAAGATTCTTTTCAGCTCAAATAATCTGTGGTCTGGAAGTTTCCGCTTAACCACGGCACTTCCATGCGACCTGAACTTGAGTTCTTCTCTGGAACGTGGGGGTTTTTGGCCTTGCCCGGCCTCTCCTGCTGGTTGCTGTGCGGATGACGTGAAATAATGGCTTTGAAAACATTGCAAATTATAAAGCACCAGATGGATGGAAGTTAGTCCTGCTGCATTCTTCTGTCCAGCCTCCTGGCCGTTGCTACATCTCTAGCCTGCCATTCACGTTGAAGCTCAATTAATACAAGAATGTGTCGAACATCTATGCTATACCTATGCTCTCCCAGGCTCTAGAGAACAGTGGGCACATACAGCCAGCACTCAGGGAGCTTACATTCAGGTGAGAGACAGACAGAGATGAGCCAACTGAACGCACACAGATGCACTGCCAAGGGAACCAGCGAGAGACTGAGCTGAAGATGAACAGCTCACCCTGGAAAACAGGGTCATTGCAAATGCCATTAAGATGAGGTCCTACTGGAGTAGGGTGGGCCCTCAATCCAATATGACTGGTGTCCTTAGAAGAGGAGACATCCACAGAGAAGGCTGCAGTGGTGCAGCCACAAGCCAAGGAATGCCAAGGAATGCCAAGCATTGCCAGTAACACCAGAAGCTGGGAGAGGCAGGAAAGGCTCCTTCCCTGCAGATTTGAAAGGGAGCCTGGGCCCTGCCAACACCTTGACTTTGGACTTGTGGCCTTCAGAAATATGACACCATAAATCTCTGTTGTTTCAAGCCACCCAGTTTGTGGTTCTTGGTTATGGCAGCCACAGGAAACTAATATCAATGCTTAGGAGTCAGACACACAAACTACAGGGTGTCAACCTGAAATAATCTTAAGGATCAGAATCCAGTTTAAAAGAGTTTATTCAAGTGCAAAGCTGAGAATGGCCATTCAGGTAATACAGTCTCCAAAGAGATGGGGTCAGTGCTCCAAAGTTAAAAGTTGAAGTCTTGATTACAGAGGCAGAACAAAGAAATGTAGTAGAATTATAACATTTTCTTTTCCTTTTCTTTTTTCAAGACAGTCTTGCTTTGTCACCCAAGCTGGAGTGCAGTGGCATCATCATAGCTTATTGCAGCCTCAAACTCCTGGGCTCAAGCGATCCTCCTGCCTCAGCCTCCCAAGTAGCTGAGACTACAGGCATGTGCCACCACACCTGGCTAATTTTTCTTTCTTTTTTTTCTTATTTTAGAGACGGAGTCTTGCTATTATTTTGTTCAGGCTGGTCTCAAACTCCTGGCCTTAAGCAATCCTCCCCAAAACTCCTGGCCTCTCAAAGTGCTGGGATTACAGGCATGAGCCACCACACCCTGACGGATTATAGCATTTTCTATACAAGGCTGGTTTATGAGTTACAACAATTTAATTACTTACAGTTTATTTTCTTTCCCTTACAGCTTGTTTTCTTTTCCTTTCCAATTTAAAAGAGTGTATTTGACATTCCATCTTAGACAATGTGATAGTCATAAAGTCTTTGTGAGAGAGAGGAAAGAAGGAAGTTAATCTATAATGAAGATCAACAGTTAAGAGAGAAGAAGTCTTCCCTGGCCCTTTTAGTAATTTATAACATTTGACAAAACAAAGTCGGTAAGGGAGAACAGGTCCAGCCCCACCTGCGCGCAGAGCCCTGGACCAGCTGGCGTGGGCGAGCCGGGCAACGTGACCAGATGCCAGCGAGGCGACGGAGCCCGGGGCTGGAGAGTGGCAGGACCTGGCTCGTGAGAAGACGGTTCTGCTGCCGGACAGGGAGGGCGTGGAGGGAGCCCAAGAATCTCATCGGCAGGAGGTGGTGCAGTGAGAGGAAAGCAGTGGAATGTTCTGGAGTGTATACTACAGAAAAACCTGACCGGACCAGGGTTGGATTGGGTGTGGCTGTCCTGAAAGCAGAGGAAACGCAGTATAAATAGATGTTTTAATGAAGTCAGTTTTCAGGCTGGTGGATTGTTCTGCCCTTCCTTAAAGAACCAAGGGGGTTTGGGTGGGGGTGGGGACAACACGAGTGTTGCTCATCTTCTCTCTTATTCGTCAATTTGGCTACAATTTTGGTTCCAAAATCCACCCCCATCTTCCTCGAGAGCGTCCTGTCCCAAAAAAGAGTCTCAATTATGTCCTTTCGGTGGGCGTGATCATTCGACTACTCCCCGACCGTGACAAGGAGAGCTCTCCTTTGCACACGAAAGTTCTGCTGTGTTTGTGAAAACAATCAGTCCTGTTCTTTACCGCGTACCTGGTGAGCCTGGGGTTAAAAAGATCGTGCCGGTGCATGTCAGAAAGGTGCCTCGCTTTATTATCTAAGGCTGTTCTCCTATAAATAATGTATTGTCCCATTCCCATTTAATTAGGAACTTTATAAGCTAACCGTGAGCTAAGAATCTCATTATTCAAACAACAAGCAGCCAGAAGTCCACAGCAGCGGTGCCTGTGGCCATTAGCTCACGACGCAGTGTTTCTAAGACTTGTGATGATGTTGATGGTAATAGCAGGACCAGCTTATGCAGTGGCCGTCTTTATATGAAAAGCTCTGTGAGATAAGGCTGGGGAAAATGATTATAAATATAGTGCTTGGCATGGCACTAACAAGGCAGAGGCAGCCCGTGCCAACAGGGGACTTTGTTGCATTTTAAAGCCAAATAAAGCCATGTCTACCCCACGTCCCTCTCTCATCACACATCCCCCGGTAATGTCATCATCCCTACAGCTTTATTTATTGTCCACATAGCCTGGTGGCCACTCAAACTGCATTGTCATGAGCTTCAGACAGGGTCCCCCACTTCCCGTTAGGTGTCTGACGTCAAAGGCTCCTGCGTCGAACATGCCCCGGCCGGACACTCATCTTCCCACCCACGCGGGCTCTCCCCGCGTTTCCTCGGCATAAGCGGCACCGGCTCCCACCACCGCCGACTCCCCCCGCAGGGGCAGCCTCAGGTGCCAGGGGTCTGTGTCCCCCACCCCCCACCCCTTCCCTGCCTGGGCCATGGCTGGGTCTCCAAGGGTCTCCCCGGCTCACCCCAGTCCGCTGCCCTCCCACCCACTGTCCACGCTGCAGCCACGATGATCTCTCAGGAATGCAAACCTGCGCATGTCACGTCTCTTATAACAGAGAAAACAACCCTTTGATATCTCCTCATTTATTTCTCCAACAGGGAAGCCCAATTTCCTCAGCCCAGCACCCCTGTCTGTCTGATTCCTCCTCACCCTCCAGGGGCGACTCCCTCCTTCAGCCTTCCTGGCCCTGGGGGCTGCGCTGGGTGACCACCATGGGCCCAGGGCGCTCTGCCCTCTGACAGGCACACGTTCAACCTTGCCGGGGGGTCGCCTGTTCACAGGGTGAGGCTCACCCACACGAGCAGGTGCACAGAGACATCCATTTCCTCGTTTCTTTTAAATCAGCTTTGATGCCAAGCCTCCATCCTGCCGGGGGAGGGGGAAGCTAATGTTGGTCATTCTTGGGGCTTCTGGGGCTGTCCCCGTCCTGGGTGGTGCCCTGGCCAGAGGGAATCACTGGAGGAGACCCCTTGTTCGAGGGCCACGCTGGGTGGTCCCAGCGCCCTTCCTCAAGCCCACTCAGCCCTGGCCGTGTCCGGGATGCTGGAATTCTGGCCCAAAGGGAACCCTGGTGCCCAAGGTGCTCCCCAGAGTGGGACCAGGTTTCCACCCCTTATGGCAGCTTAATTTCCATCCATTCACCTGTCTGGGGACTCTCTAGTGAGGGACAGCCAGCCCTATGTTCCCAATGAGTCTGGGATTTTCCAGAAAACAGGATGTGGGTGGCTTCCAGATAACTCCCGCTGCATACATCTCCCCTGGGGAGGACTCGGGGAGAAGGGAAAATATTAATACAGTGAACCAAACACAAATGGTATCCTAGTAAGTTACGCGGACCTTGCCCCCCAGCACAGCTGTCCCCGTACCACGTTTAATCGGCCGCACACAGAGCCTGGTAATGAGAGAAAGATCAAGGATGAGGTATCAGCCCAGGCCCACCAGACGTGCAAACATCAGGCTGGCGATGCCACATGTGGGCACGACATGGAGACTCAGGAGCACTTAGACACCGTGGGTGGGATTGGTTGTAAGTCAGGGCAAACACTTTGGAGAAAAGTCAAAAATATCTAAGAAAGTTAAAAATCCCAAAATTCCACTTACGGTGTAAACCTGAAGAACCCCTTGCTCGTGTGTGAACATACCTACCATGTTCATTGCAGCACTGTTTGTGATCGAGAAAAACTGGAAAGAACCTGAATGTCTATCAACAGGTAAAAAGATAAATAAAGTATAAAATATTCTGACGTGGAACAGTGTAGCGCCGTGGGCGACCAAGGTTTTTACTCACATACTCCTTAACAGGATTTTGCAAAACAGTGTTCCCCTCACGTACTTTTAAGTTGACATCCAAAATACTTCATCTTAAGTTTTAAAAGTTGAAGAGTAGTTTCTAGGGTTCTATCCATCACCCTTTTGAAAGTATCCAATGAAATGTAAATATATTGATTTTGTCTCCTATAGTCCATTTTTTAGAAACACATGAGGAAACTGTTGTTGAATAGTCAGAAGGTTTTCGATTGTTTGGGATGAATACAATGAATACAATTGTTTGGGATGAATACACCAAGTACATCACTTTAAATGTTTCCTACCAGATATCAAGTGACTACCAAAGAGAATTAAATAATGTATCTAAAAAGATAAGAATTGAAATAATAAAAATTGGGAGAGATTTTAGTCTGAGTGGAGCGAGCGAGCCGAGTGGTTGTGTGGTTGCGTCTCGGAAACTAGTAGCGCTTGCAGCATGGCTGACCAACTGACTGAAGAGCCGATTGCAGAATTCAAATAAGTTTTTTCACTATTTGACAAGGATGGTGATGCAACTATAACAACAAAGGAATTGGGAACTGTAATGAGGTCTCTTGGGCAGAATCCCACAGAAGCAGAGTTACAGGACATGATCAATGAAGTAGATGCTGATGATAACGGCACAATTGACTTCCCTGAATTTCTTACCATGATGGCAAGAAAAATGAAAGACACAGACAGCGAAGAAGAAATTAGAGAAGCATTCCGTGTGTTTGATAAGGATGGTAATGGCTATGTTAGTGCAGCAGAGCTTCGTCATGTGATGACAAACCTTGGAGAGAAGTTAACAGATGAAGAGGTTGATGAAGTGATCAGGGAAGCAGATATCGATGGTGATGGTCAAGTAAACTATGAAGAGTTTGTACAAATGATGACAGCAAAGTGAAGACATTGTACAGAATGTGTTAAATTTCTTGTACAAAATTGTTTATTTGCCTTTTCTTTGTTTGTAGCTTATCTGTAAAAGGTTTCTCCCTACTGTCAAAAAAATATGCATGTATAGTAATTAGGACTTCATTCCTCCATGTTTTCTTCCCTTAACTGTTATTGTCCTGAAACCTTATTTTAGAAAATTGATCAAGTAACATGTTGCATGTGGCTTACTCTGGATATATCTAAGCCCTTCTGCACATCTTAACTTAGATGGAGTTGGTCAAATGAGGGAACATGTGGGTTATGCCTTTTTTAAAGTAGTTTTCTTTAGGAACTGTCAGCATGTTGTTGTTGAAGTGTGGAGTTGTAACTCTGCGTGGACTATGGACAGTCAATAATATGTTCTTAAAAGTTGCACTATTGCAAAACGGGTGTATTTTATCCAGGTACTCGTACACTATTTTTTTGTACTGCTGGTCCTGTACCAGAAACATTTTATTGTTACTTGCTTTTTAAACTTTGTTTTAGCCACTTAAAGAAAATCTGCTTATGGCACAATTTGCCTCAAATCCATTCCAAGTTGTATATTTGTTTTCCAATAAAAAAATTACAATTTACCCCCCCCCCAAAAAAATTGGGAGAATATTTGGATCTACTGGAAATGAAAGCAGGCTTTGAATGTTAATCTGAATAAATTGAGAAATGGAAGTAAACAATTTGGAAAGTGAAAACTGGTTTAGGTGTTTGACTTTAATAAATGATATTATAAAAGAGACCTCAATATTTTTTCTTAGCTTTACAAAAAAGAAATGTTCAGCTATTAAAGCTGACATTAACACAATGAATGGTGAAGTGCTTGAATGTATGAAACTAAAATAAGTCTACAAACAAGAAAAGAAAGATATTATAGAAACAAGAAAATGATCTATAGCAATTTGAAAAACTTTATCAATTTCAAGATTAAAACTATTAGATTGTTGAATAAGTTGTATGAAATGTATTTGCTATTTAAGGACAGAATATGAAAACATTTTAAAACGTTTAAGTTATTCCAATTTATTGAATCCCTTTTTTTTCCTTGAATAAGCCAATGAAATCCAATTTATTGAATCCTGAAACATGGGCAAGTGAGGTTTATAGAGTCTGTGGATTAAAGATGAAAAAAATTAATAAAATGAAGCCAATTAGTTAAATATATCTCAGTCAATAATTTTTATGACTTCACTGATAATACAAATATTAAATGTTTTAATCTCAGGAAGTATAAAAATAGCTAGAAACATTTTTAATGTAATTGTGTTAGTTCAGTAGAAATGAAAGAGGATTCGTCATCTTGAGCAACACAGGTGATGCTCAGAGAAAGTCTCCAGTTACGGAGACTGTAGCCGACCTAATAACTATTAATGGTGAGGTCCCTGGAGGAATTTAATGTTAAAAAATAATTTTTTTATCAATGACAAAATCATATAACATATAATATTAAATGAATGCATGTCAAAGATTTTCTTTAACTCATTAATTGTTGAAGGAGCCAATAAGATGTGCTCCAAGGAGAATTCAGAGAACACACATATAGAAAATCAGGAGTGCCAAAATAAATTCTAATAAATTTGCAAAGCAACAGGTCAGTATCCCCAGGGCAATTGTCAATATCATCTCCATTGGACAAAATTCATTTGCGTTTCCATGGGTAAGGATAGATTGTATTACTGTCAGTCTCTACAATTTATAGCTGTGAAATAGCTGAAAACAAAGGTGCCTATAAGTCAGAAAAAGTGGGGACACCTAATACCCTTTTTTTTGGTCCATTTCACAGTTTCTCACAATTTTTCCTGACAATGTTATTCCCTATGTCAGCTCACAGCTGAGACCTACTAGCGTGGTTATATAGCCATTGGTACCCCTGCCCAACAAACAAAAACTATACCTACAATTTCTAAAGATAACAAGTGATTTAGAGCAGTGATTCAATGAATGAATTATGCTCCAACTTATCACTCTGTAAACAATTCTATAAAAATATATAATTTAGACAACGAAAAGCCATATTTTATATATTTCATAAAATGTTTTTGTATTTTATAAGATCTATATACGATATGTTTCATAGTGTGATTTCTAGATTTCTATTACAATGACGTTATCAAACGTCGTGACCGTCACTTCTGCATATGCAGACGCACACACTCACGTATGTGGGAACTGGACACGGCACAGAGAAGCGCTGCTCCGCCAGGGAGCAGGAAGGGCCCGTACGCAGGCAGGTGATGAGTCTGTAATCATGGGGTCTGCCATTTATTGATTGGACTCTATAAACCAAGAACAGGGTCAGGCTCCGGCAGATGTGCTCCATGCCCAGCCTCCCCCACCTCAGGAAATGGCACCAACACCTGCCCAGTGGTTCACAGCTGGAATCCAAGCCTCATCCCCATCCTTCTCTCTCCCTAACATTCCACAACCGATCCCTCAAAAACCCCTCCCAGTCCTATTCCCGAGGTGTATTCATCGCCCCTCCTTCCCCTCCTGAAAGAGGGCGCTCCTCCGCACTCCCTCCACCACCCCCTCCAGCACCTCTCTTCCCTACGGCAATGGCCCCCACGGGCCCTCCCTCCGTGTTCCCACCACAATCTGTCCCCTCACCACAGCAGGTGACCTCGAAAAAGCAAATCAGGATCGTTCCCCTGTTTATACCCTTCAGTGATTTCCCCTTACACTTAAGTCTCAACTCCCTCCCTTAGACAACAAAACCAGACAAAATCTGAGCTAATCTGATTTCACATCCATCTAAAATTATAAACCCTTTCCCTACCTCAGCAATCCCTGGGCCCCTCCTTGCTACCTTCGCTCCATCTCATTGATGGCATATCAAATATTATGTTATGCCATAGAGTATCAGATCGTGTATCTACACGTTATATTATTTAGATAGTTTGTTGTTTGTCTTCCTTTGCAATAAAGCGTAAGTTTCATGAGGTCAAGGACGTTTGTATGTTTTCTTCTATGGCTGTGTATCCCAAGAACCTAAAACAGTGCCAGACACATGGCAGGAGCATAACAAATGCATGTGGAATGAATGAATGAAGTCCCCTCACTCACCGGGCTCCAGCTTGGGACTGTGAGGGATCTGAGATTTGACCCTACTTATAAGCTAACAGGTAGCCGGCCAGAGTTCCACGGATGCTGGCAGGAGGGATGAGATGCGGGGACCAGAGACAAAGGGCTTTATCACTCACAGCACAGCGGGTAGTGTGAGCTTCGCATTGCATTAGTTCCCCTGCTCCCCGAGTCCCCTGTGGGTGGCCCAGAGCAGTCCAGGTGGATGTGCACACTCAGTGGGTTTGTGTCACTGAGGAAGCCTGAGTTTAGGGAACTTGCCTCATTTATAACGGGCTGCAAGCCAACTGCCCCACCTTTGCAGAGGGGCCATTATCTTTACTATGCCGGACAGTGAGCAACTCTGCTCTGTGCTCCAGAGGGGGACACTATCTCTGTCTCCAACGCTAAAAAGAGAATCCAGGCAAAGGCCCTTCCTGCCTCTGTTTCCAAGACTCGCAGAAATGCAAGACATTTACGGCAATGTCTCCCGACCCCCCATCACTGTCACACTACCCTGTTTTTGCCTTTGCAGCGTTTACCACTCTGAGATTATCTTGTACATGTATTTGTTTATCGCCAACTCCCCACCACCACCCATGGCCACCCCAATAGAGCATAAATTCCTTGAGCAGGACCCCAACCCTGGGAAAGTGCTGTCATGGAGCGGGAGGAGGCGCAGCACTTACGTACATAAGATAATTCACAGGTGGGAAAAACACACAAGAGACTTCCAGATCAAGAAGGTGGGAGCTGTGGCCAAGAGTGACTGGTGCTGAGGGGACAAGGGTGCTGACAGAGGTTGGGTGGTCTCAGAGGAGGAGGGGACAACATGGAGAGGGGATTGTTGAGGAAAAAAGGGCTAAAGACAGAGACATCAGTGAGAGGCCATTGTAACAAAGAGGGAAGAGAGAGAGAACTGAAGCTAACGGATTTTGGGGTGTTGGCAACTGAGACAGGAACAGGGGAGGACGGGCAGATCTAGCGGACAGGCTTGGCCATGCAAGTCTTCCAGAAAAGTCAACGAGCGTGTTTCCGCAGAACGTAAGGGGTGAGGGGCCCTGCGGGCCACAGCACTGGCCTGCGGTCCTGTTGGGACCAGGTACTCGGCATGCACTGCTCATCCCATCCTCCCCAACCCCCTCCAACGGATGGGGAAGCTGAGGCCCAAGGAGGCTAATCAGCTTCTCTAGGGTCACACAAGGTGGGATCTGGGGAGCTTCCCCTGGCCTGGAGCCACCACACAACACCGTAAGTTAAGGAAAAGTAACAGGTCCTGGAATTACTCATCGAACCATAACTGAGTAGAACTTTCAACAGTGCGTTCAGCTTCTTTTCCAAGAAGACCCCAAGCAGGCAGGGGAGGCCGGTGCTACAGCAGGTGTCAGAGGGCCCAGGGGCCGTGGGGTTTTGGAGGCCAGCACCAGGGCGGGCCACCAGGTCAGGAGTATGGAGATTGAGGGCATGAAGGAGAAAGTGTCTTCTGCCTGTGCAGGGGTCTGAGGTCACTGCTGCTTCCTGGCCATCGCCTGAAGACGCAGTTCTGGATATTACTCCTGTGAAGAAGACCTGGCTGACCAGAAAACGAGGTGCAAGATACCTGTGACCTTTAGACCACAATGGCCATGCTGGCCCAGGTCAAGGGCTCCAAGGAGGTAGCCCCTGCCACTCCTGGCACCAAGCTCTCCATCACTCCTGTGAGGCAGTGCCCTGGGAAGTAGGATGGGCAGGTGCCATGCTGTTCCTTGCATGGTGACAGGGCTCGGGGGTCTGGGTCTGTGCTGGCGTCAGATCCCCATTCCTTGTCTCCACCCTTGCCCGCGAAGAGGCTGTCAGGACCTGGTGTTGACGACTGTTCCACTTTGTCCAGGAGAGACCTGGGACCTGCTAAAGCCACCTTCTCTGCCACTTCCAAGCCCAAGAGCCGTCTAACCTCTGATCCATTCACCCAAGAATCCATGCAGAGAACCAGGCTCCTGCTTTCACAGAGGGTTTTCACACGAGCACCCCCTACTCCCCACCATCCCCTAAAAGCCCACTCATTTTTAAGAGACCAATTGCAGCGCCCGAACCTAATCTGCAAATCCTGCTTAAAATGAGCCCCAACGACAGAGGGAATTCCTGTTACGCTTTTGGTGCGATGATGTTTGTTTGTTCCTTACCTTTTAGAGATACATCATGAAAAATATACTGATGAAATAACACCTGGGATTTGCTTCACAGTAATGGGAGGACGGGTAGGGTATTTTTGAAGCCGGGACGGGAAGATGGAGAATTACGACACTCATTTTTATATGCTTGAAATTTGTCACATTAAAAGGCTTTAAAAATATTTCAGTAGATTTTAAAGCAAAGCTACATGTAGTGCCCCCTTAATGTCCACCAGCGCCTCCCACTGCGCTGTGATGGGGCGTTTCTGTTCCCCGTTCCGAGGACAGAGCGGGCGACCCTGTTGGCTGCGCGTTCTGCTCCTGCAACCTGCCGCAGCTTTTCTTCTTCAGGAAGAACGCTCTTCTCAAATCGCCGC